CCCCCCCCCCCCCGGGTTGAGAAAAATGAATTAAAAAATATCGACCAGTTTCGAAATTGCAATTTGTCTAAAAAATTCTTGAGAAGATTGTTTTAAGTCTAGAGAAAATTTACCAATCTGCCTTTAAAACTCATCATAGTACCGAAACTGCGCTTTTAAAAGTAACGTCTGATTTATTGGATTTCGTTGATAGCAAAAATATCTGTCTTTTAACCCTTTTGGATCTGTCCGCAGCTTTTAACACAATTGACCATGCTATTCTACTCACAAGACTTGAGCGCTCATTTGGCTTATCGAGTACTGTGCTTTCATGGTTAAAGTCATATTTATTAGAAAGAGTTCAGTCAGTGCAAATTAAAAATAGCTTTTCAAAGCAGGCGAGGCTCGATTATGGAGTTCCTTAGGGGTCCATTCTTGGACCAGTGCTCTTTACACTATATGCACAGCCCTTAGCAAGCATTTTACAAAATCATGGATTGAATTACCATTTTTATGCCGATGATTCCCGAATGTATGTTAATGGCACAATTCAAGATCTGCCAAACATGATTTCTATCACTAAACAATGTTTTTATGAAATTAAAAGTGGATGACAGTAAACAAATTGAAACTAAACGAAGAAAAGACAGACATCATTCTTATTAAAAAATTCACGATTAAATAAAGATCTAGAAAGTGTCAACTTTGATTTATATGGGCATATGACATCTAGTAAAGAAGTTGTCAAGAATCTCGGTGTATATATTGACCACCACTTGGTTTGTAGGGCTGGTTTGTAGGATCTCTATCCAAATCCCTGTATTTTCAGCTGAGAAGGATAGGCCTAGTTCGAAAGTACATAAACAAAGAGACCACAAAAACACTGGTAACATCTCTTATCCTTTCTAGATTACGCTATTGTAACTCACTCCTAGCAGGTCTGAACAACAAATATTTGAATCGTTTACAAGTAATTCAAAACAATGTCGCTAGACTGATAACAAGATATAAAAAACGAGACCATGTCACTCCATTATTAAAAGAACTGCATTGGCTCCCTGTAAAAGAAAGAATAATATTTAAAATCTGCGTCATGTGTTTCAAATGTGTAAATAAAACTGCTCCTTTTTTTTCTACAATAACTTATCAGTATTATTATATAAGCCAGGGAGAAACCTAAGATCATCAAACGATAACACCCTACTTGTGACACCTGTAAAATCATACAAATCATATGGAGAGAGATCTTTCTCATATCTTGGTCCATTTATGTGGAATAGATTACCCATGAAACTAAGACAAATAAAAACACTTGATAGCTTCAAAAGACATCTTAAACATTTTCTGTTCTTACAGGCCTATCCTTCATAAGCTTTTAACGTTGTTTTTCATTATAGTTGTTCTGTTCCTATGTCTGGATGAAAATTGTCTATGTGTGTGTGTGTGTGTGTGTGTGTGTGTGTGTTTGTGTGTGTGTGTGTGTGTGTTTGTGTGTGTGTGTGTGTGTGTGTGTGTGTGTGTGTGTGTGTGTGTGTGTGTGAGAGAGAGAGAGAGAGAGAGAGAGTGTGTGTGTGTGTGTGTGTGTGTGTGTGTGTGTGTGTGTGTGTGCATTAATATATATTGCATGAGAAGAAAGGAAGTAGTAAGAAAGGTTTTTGAAAAATGGGTATTCCAATGTGAAGCACATTGAGCTACTTTTTTGGAAATGCGCTATATAAATGTTATATTATTATTATTATTATTATTATTATTATATTTATTATTATTATTATTATTATTATTATTATTATTATTATTATATATATATATATATATATATATAATATTTAATATAATATGTGTGTATATATATATTTTAAAAAATATTGTGTGTGTATGTGTGTGTGTATGTGTGTGTGTAATATACATTTAGATGACTTGGGTGTTTGGCTGCTTCGAGCTTGCCTGACAGGGCCAGCAACTTCCCACCAGAACGACGATAACCTCCTCACGCGGCAATCGAACTCACGTCTTCACCTCCTTTGCCCCCTCCTCTGGGCTCCTGACTCTTTCTGCAGCCTTTCTACTGCTACTCATTGGCTCCTTCTTACTGCGGTCTTTCAGTCACACCCCTGATCTTCTGGAAGGAAAGATATATCCCTAGCCTTCTCGGACAAGGGCGAAAAATCTCGAAGGGCCCGTGTGCAAGTTGCGCACATTAAAGATCCCTTGGTGGTCTAAAATCGATAAGAGTAGACTTCGGCCGCCACAGGGGCAAAATTCAAAACTTCCTACCAACTGAAAATATTACGTGTGTCCCGTGCGCTCATATGACCTTATGCAGTTGCGAGCGCCGTAAAACACTTTCCCCCAAAAAACTCCAAAAACCCCCAAAAAACTCGCGTTTTCTGCGTGCAACGGCCGGCGAAGCACCTAATCACCACAACACCACACACGCCAGTATTCTAGGCTGAGTGGGACACAGGATCTCAGCAGACAGACGGAGATATTCGACAAAAATATCTTTTCTCAAAGGGGGAATCGAACCCGAGGGCGAAAGCGAAGTGTTGAACTACAGCTTTAAGAAGGAGCCAAGGAGTAGCAGTACTGTAGAAAGGCTGCAGAAAGAGTCAGGAGCCCAGAGGAGGGGGGAAAGGAGGTGAGGGGTGGCGGCAGAAAGAGGAGACGAAAGCAGACGACAGAATATTGCTAGAGAGCAGGAAAGGAGGTGAAAGGAGACAATTTTAGAGAAGAAAAAATTTCGGTCACTACCCGGATTCGAACCCCGGACCTTTGAATGAGAGGCCAACGCCTTAACCTCTAGGCCTCGAGTGCCCCCGAACTACAACAGCACTGGCATCTTTTGTACTGTCGGTGTTTCAGTAACATTATCTCGATTAAATCCCAAGACAGTTTTGTACTGAGATATAGGTCTATGATACTACTACTACTACTACTACTACTACTACTACTACTACTACTACTACTACTATGACGATGATAATAACAATAAGGGTAACTGTTATAGCGCCCACTTTCTAATTCTGTCTAGTAGCTCTAGGTGCT